CGGGCGTGTGACATCGGGAGAACAGGAGGCAAAGGTGGAGGGGACAGGGTGGGGCTGGGGACAGGGTGGCACTGGGACAGGAGAGGGATGGGGAAGGGATGGAGATGGAGGGGACAGGGATGGGTGGGGACAGAGGGGACATGGGTGGAGAGGACGGAGCAGCCGTGGAGGGGACAGGATGGGGCTGGGGACAAAGGGGGTAGAGATGGGGGACAAGATGGCACTGGGAAGGAGAGGGGTGGGGACACAAGGGACAGGGATGGGGACAAGGGACACAGATGGAGGATGGAGCAGCCGTGGAGGGGACAAGGTGGCACTGGGACAGGGTGGCACTGGGACAGGGAGGAATGGGAAGGGGATGGAGATGGAGAGGACAGGGATGGGGACAAGGGACAGGGATGGGGACAGGGGACAAGTAGAGAGGATGGAACAGCCGTGGGGGAGGACAGGGGTGGGGACAGAGGGGACATGAGAGGACGGAGCAGCCATGGGACAGGGTGGGGCTGGGGACAAACTGGGTAGAGATGGGGGACAAGATGGTGGTGGGACAGGAGAGGGATGGGGACAGAAGGGACAGGGATGGGGACAAGGGACAATGATAGAGGATGGAGCAGCTGTGGAGGGGACAGGATGGGGCTGGGGACAAAAGGGGTGGAGATGGGGGACAAGATGGTGGTGGGACCGGGGACAGGGTGGCACTGCAGAGCAGGAGAGGGCTGGGGGGGGGACAGGGATGGAGGGGACAGGGTGAGGACAGAGGGGACAGGAGGGGGACAGGGAAGGGGGGAGAAGGTGGGAGGAGGTCGAGGGTGGGGGACCTCAGAGTGAGGACAAGGTGTCACCCAAGGGTGACAGGGACAGGAGGTGACAGGGACAGGAGGTGACAGGCAGCCGTGGGGCCCCAGAGTAAGGGGGGAGGTGCAGCTGTGGGGCCCCGGAGTAAGGGGGGAGGTGACACGGGGACACCTCGTGGCCCTGGGGGGACAGAGAAGGACGGGGAGGGGACAGGGACGTGTCACCCCAGGGCGATGGGTGACAGGAGGTGACAGAGGTGACGGCCCCTTCCAGGGTGGTTTATTGTCTATTTACAGGGTGACATGGACGGGGGGTCCCCAAGGGGTCACCCGCGGCAGGGGGGCAAT